AAATTGCTATGGATCTGATATTGGTTCACTTACGACCTTATGGCTATGTGTCTTTTACAGCAAAGTTTCAAGAAGATCGGGTAATAATCAGACTTTTGGTCCACAACAATGCATTCAAAATTTTCGCCCATTTTAGTATGCTATATCTCGGCAACCAGATGTTGCGCGCGCAAACGGTTTTCAGAACAATGTATACAAATCATTTAGCTTTGGAATGACATAAAGTATTACAAAAAAGTGATTCGGAGTGCGCGAAAGTGTAAGTTTTAATGCATGTATCCCATTTTTAACACCGTGTACAGGACTATTTCCCTTAAGCTGTAACTCAAGGAGCCAGAAATGGCGGCATCGCACTCTCTGTACAGAGGAAACCGACCAGCCGGTCCGCGGATACTAAAGCTGTACTGTGGAATGAAAAGTCTTTGCAAGAGCGCATAAGGAACATACATTCAAATGGCGTGAATGGACATCAGTGAGTTTAGACCGAGAATCGCTTATAAATTTAAGATAAAACTAGAAGTATGTGTTAAAACGATGCTTCTTGCACATGAGTTTGTACTTCTTTTAATCCGACACTGTATACTACCGTAGGAGTAATCCCATAGAACGGCGGTATGCAGTGCGTTAACTAAATTGAGAATATGACTTTTTTCATTGAGGAGACCAATAGAAAAAGTCATATTCTCAATGAAAAAAGTCTATGATGAACAACAAGCTGATCACCCTCTACACAACACGAATGCATGCTATGGCCTATGGGTGCAGTGCCGAAGAAACGAAAAGCAACGGATGAATAAAGAAACTGACGTATTAAGAGGTTATGCGTATCCAGTTGTGTTTGTGACAATTTCCTTAATCATTTTAATGATTTGCAAAATATGGCTAGAAAGTTTTTGCGGCACGTTTGGGAATTACAGGATTTAATTCGTGAATTGTCTGCAGTGATTGTTAAATGATTTTACTTTTAGTTTAGCGTTCCCCGCTACTTTTTTCTACTAGCGGTGTTGACGGTTGTGAGACTGTGAAGAATCAAAACAAAAAGCGCGGGAACGATCTAATTGACCATAACAGTATATGCGCGAAATCACAATTATATTCATAGTGATCTTACATTGATACCGATCGGAAATCCAGTCAAGTCATGATCGATACGACTTTTATTAGTGCTCTGCAGGGTTACATCGTAGTGATGATGTACACGGAGAACAGCCCGTTCAAGAGTCATACTGAAGTGTTGTCACTGACGGAAAACAAGTATTTTCAGTTACAAGAATTCCTATATGAGGCTTTGAGGTGTAGCTAGGAAGCGCATACAAGTTACTGTGCGACCTATTATTGACAACTATCCTGGTCGGCAAGCGATCTGAAATCGCAGACAACTTTACATTTAAAATACAATCTATCTTTGCGACTTTTTTATGGGCTAATGTCCCAGAAGCTCTTCGTTGCACAGGCTCCTGGATGCACTTCGCGTTATAATTATGACAGATGGGCAAATTGTATGGATTAACTGACAGTGTACGACGGATACGTAATATGGAAAAACTGGTTCTTTACCGGCATGCAAGCAACAGAGCGCAACCCCGAAAAAAGTGCATAATCGTACTCGCGAAGATCAGAAAACGAATTATTTGGTTCTTACCGTATTTGTAAAGTAACTACTTTGCGACCATTTAAAAACTGTTGATTATTAAAAAATATATATAGTACATAGCCAACAGACATAGCTGATAATTAGTACATATATAGTACATAGCTGATAATTTGCAGTTTATAAATGGCTCGATTACAACTACGCTTTTCGTAGTACGACTATTTCTGTGCACTACGTATGTTATTCGGCTTGTTATTCATTATTTTAGCATCCAAACTGTTTGTTAAGCCGGGCCTCCTACTGTTTATCTCAGCTCACCGGATCTATAAGCTGGGAAAATGTCTTTTACTACCGGGAAACCAACAACGGAGACGAAGTCAAGAAAATCAACTAACAATAAGTTTAAATTTGACGAAGGGCGGACTGAGCTTACGAGCATGGCATACAGTCATAGCAATAACGAGAAATACACATCCAGCGTCAGGTCACGGCAGCGTGTTACTGCGATAAGAACTCAGTACTGCAGCGAGTACAAGAATGCCGCTTCCTAATCAGCTACATACTTAAGCTTTTGTAAATTTGTAACCATCAGAATGGACGGACGGCTTACACGTCCGTCGCCATCAAATACGAGATTACGATTATCAAATCGCGGGATAAAATTAAATAGCGTTTGTTCAAATTCGGTCTAGTATGTATTACGGTAAGAAACCAGAAGTTGTAATAATTATATTGACAGCAATTAGTGGCGTCTTTTCGGCTCTTTCCCACGATTGCTATATGCTTGTCTAACTTTTCTCGTATCTCGTTTGATATGTAAGGGGAACGGACGCTGTAGCCGTCTGGATCTTATGAATGGTTATTTTACAGACGTTGTTACTGATGAAGATTAAGGAATCACGCAAGCACCCGGTGAGGTCACCTGCTCGGGTAATAGCTTCGCCCAGCCTTGGTAGCAAGCACCACAGTATAAAACGAGTCGTCGTAGGCTTTAGTCAAACAGTTCAGTCTACTGCCTAATTATTAACTTTCAGCATTAAAATCAAAATATTAAGGTTACTATTTCGCACAACCTTTACATTATTATTTCGAAATTCCGGAGAATGCAGCCAAACAGTGTGTTTCTCGTTCTTGCCGCGATCGCGATCCTGATCGTCGCCTGCATGGCCGTTGGTATGAGCTCACTTCTAGCTTTGCATCAGCTTCATTTGTCCAAATCCATACACTTAGCAAATTTTTATTACGATGTATGCAAAGTACTGTTAGAAAAGCCGCATACAGTGAGATTTTATGAAGTGTACTTGATAGTTGGTAGTGCTCCTTGAAGACTTTAGACGTATAGCGTAAGGGTCGTGCAACTGTCGGGTTAAAGCTGTTGGCGCATTTGCTTGGTTATTTCGCTACGGAGCCATGAGTTTTCTGGGTTTAAGTTGTGTTTGGCGAAATTAGTCGTTTTCACGTCGAATATTTTCAAAAAGTGCTTATTGTAGAGGTAAATGAGAACACCGTGGACGACATGGATGTTGCCGCTATGCAAGTTTCTGCCGATGCCCGCGGTGGAATGTGCGGATGTCCGTTTGGATTCCTGTGCCGACGCAACTGTCGTCGCAAAGGCTATATTAAGGGCGGAAAGTGTACGGGAACGCTGAATCTTGCCTGTGCATGCTTTGGCCCTCAAAACCAACTAATCTCCAGTGTTATGAATTGCTAAAGTGAAGAAATAATTCCTTTACACATATTTTAATCCGTCCAGTTGCCGCTGCTAAAATCATGCTCAGTGGAGTAATACTGTCCTCTAACAGACTTTTGTACTCTGTAGTATCCAGTAAAAATGTGTGGACTAGCGCTTTGACGAATATATACTTTTAAAACTGGTTCTGTAATATGCAGCATCTTTTATTTACGGATACTTAACCATTTTGCTCCATAAAAAAATTCGCTTACCAATGCCGCAATGCAGCAAAAATATTTACCGATTTATATGGATAGAGCACTTTTAAGAAGGACGCCTTTATACGGGTACTCTTCATATCTGAACGGCTCTAATTCCGCCCGGTGCGCGTTAACCCCAGCAAATCGATTTCCACTAACCAGAAATGCAGCTCGCAGCTAGTTCCTTTTATTATTAATAATAATAAGAATAAATTCATACGAAATTTGTCGAATACGAACTGTGCGATGAACAATAATAAATCTAAGATTTCATTTACCATGCAAAGTTGCCGAATCTCATTTCAACAGCCAGGTATTATCAGCGATGTGCTGTAATCAAAGAGCAACTCCACTTAATTACAAAGGTACAAAGTAATTAAAAAAACATTGCTTGGTTCAACGAGGTACAGCACGTTTTCACAAAAATTGGTGCACATTGTTTAAGTACTTGAAATGTTAACTTGGCTATTCCCTGTACAGAGTTGCAGCCTACGAGAGGCCCTAACCGAAAGCCATTACTCTACGACATACGGTATAAGCCGATGTCACGCGAACGAGAGAAATAATGATACAACCGAAGAAATAAGACTTTTGATGCTTAAATAAAACGTGGACAAACATGCTGGCTTGTTCGTCTGACATAATCTCATTGCCAATGAAAAAATCAAAATTACGAACATTCTGCTCCGTAAAAAAATTAGTAGAAACATACGCTTGAGAAACAGGACATAATCATGTGGCAGCCTATGCGGCTACGGGCCACCGTAACTGATTTATAAAGGCAAGCTAGCGCTTCGCTCAAACTGGTCCAATTCACATTTCTATTTCGCTCGAATTATTTGTTAACGCAAACCCTGGCACCTCGTTTCCGGCCTTCCAGTTTACTTTTCTATTTATAACAGTCTAGTGGCAGCAGAGTGTAAAACTACAATTCGGGGAAGGAGTATGCGCAAAATAAAGAAAGGCCAAGAAAGGCTATGCCCTGCTCACGGAACCGGAATTCGCTAACGGGCGGTTTGTTTACGGAAATAAGACGCGTCACTGATAAAGAAGCGGTACTCTGGTGCATCCCAGAATATTACGCTCTTATCACACAATACGCGTAAAACATATTGTGCAGATTGCAGAACACATCACGCCGCCCGTGACGCTGTAGAAACGTATTCCAAACTAATGCTATCAGCCGGCACAGTGTTACAAGTACAGTATGTTGTTTTTCCTGGACATGAGCTGTGGATGCTATAATGCCTGGGGGCAACTGATCTCCATTGCCAATCAGTGTTAGGCGGATGAACAACCTACCAATACTGGAAGGAACACAATTCAACACACTGCGCTCCAGAAAAGAGATATTTCTCTACAGATAACCTAACGCGCCTACTGTAATTACCGCTCGCGTTGACTCTACTTGTAAACAAGTGTTTTTATCCAGTTACCAGACTTTCCCTTAAGAATAAAATTTACGCGCCCATAGTTTCGACATTAAACCAATTTAATTGTTTCCGTGACGCTAGTGACCTTAAATAACGCGAAGCCGATGATTTCAATGAAAACATTTTTTGTCATTCAACATACCAGAAAACTTTATTGACCTACTTGAACAAATTATTCAAAAAGGCGTTAAAAAACCAAAGGTCACCGAGGGAATGCTCCATTACTTGGACGAATGTAGACAATCGTTTCAGTAAAAAAATTAAAAACATGCAGCGACAATTTCCGACTTGAAAATCACAGATAAATACTCCGTCATCAGCAACACTCGGTGTGCAAAGTGAACAACATCCTGCCTCACGCTAAACCCAGCTGGGTCTTGGCGGCGGTGATCTTGCTGATGAGCGCCACATCATCGCGCCGGCACTTCTCCAGCACCTTGTTCAGGCCCTCGCCGTCCTTCTGCTTGATGGCCCACTCGGCGGCCTCCTCCAGCAGACCGATCTTGACGAAGCACTTGAGCTTGTTCTCCTCGTCCACCCGCATGGCGTACTTGTAGGCCTCGTTGCGGCCGTGGTAGCGGAAGGCGGCCACGGCGAAATGCTCCAAGCCCACCGGCGGTTTGCGGACGCTCTTGGAGAACTTCTCCAGCTCCTCCCAGTGGGCGTTCCGCGCCAGCACGTCGATCTTCACCAGCCAGAAATGCCGATCCGCGATCTAGCAACATAACAATGCTGCCTCGAACAAAAGATAAATTCCCAAAAAGGTAAGATAAACGACGCCAAAAACTTTACAGAAAGAAAAATAAAACATCTTTAAATACAGTTCAAAAAGCACACCCACCCACCCACTCTTTTCCATCCGCTATCCTTCAGTTAGAAGTGCAAATAAATTTATAAATATATTCAATTATGTCAACTGCGTGGCTCCAAAAGCGTGAGAACAATTTGAGTTTTATAAATATTATAATGTCTCGTTTTCAAAAGGTGACCACTTCCCTAAGTTACTTTTCTTAAAAAATAAACACCAATTCATAAACATCACACGGCAACGGAACCGGCATGCGAGAAAAATCAATACAAAAACGGTGAAGATCTTACACAGTAATGAGATTTATTGTCGTATTTTGAGCGATTATTAATGTAAATGTATCATTAAAATATTATCAGATTCAAACCGATCCCAAAAAAGATGTTTCCACGGTAAAAAATGCATAGAGATTCTACGATTAAAGCAACTGTATCATTTAAGCTATTACAACATCCTTTTGGCTCACGAAACCACAGTTTAATGCCTTTACACTACGATTGTTCCATGGCATGGCAGTACACACAGCATGGTACATAATAAGAAACACTGTATTAAGAATTACGTAAGAGCACCGGTAAACTGAAAAACCTACAGATTACCGGATTAACATTAATTCACAATCAAAATAAACCAAAACTGAAATATCACAATAAAAATCTTTAAAAAAAATAAATTCTGAAAGAGATTCAGCAACGCCAGCTATTATGTATAGAATTCTATACAATACTGTATACACAGTACTGTATTGACGTTCTATTATACAAGTACAGCGAAAGGGAAGCAAAATAGTCAACCGTATTTCGGTGATCTAGGAAATAGTTTAGTATCTCATCGATTAACACTGGTAAATTTCTGCCAATTAATACCTGAAAGTCTTTCTTCAAATCGTCGGCCATCTTGTAGAATCCATCGTTGAGCAGTAGCTCCAGCGTCTGGTGCACGGTTAATCCCGTGTAGCCGCGGTTGAATTTCTCCTCCAGTTTATTCTGCTGTTTGATCAGCTTAATCTGGTCTTCCGTGATCTTCTTGTTGAATTCATCGCGTCCGTGCTCAAAGCGTTCCATGGCACTCTGCAGCGCCGCCAGTCGCTCCGCCGGCGACAGTTTCTCAAAGAACGCTTCCGGGACAAACGTCAGTCCCTCGTCCGTGCGCCAGTCTTCCTGGACGAACAAATCGCGCAGCTGCCCGGGATTCAGTTCCTACCGAAAAGCAAATCATTCCAGTCTTTTGCAGTAATGCCATTTGTATTGACAATTTTATTATCATGATTTATGATTATTATGTTATTTTCAAATAATTAAATCCATGGAATCTGGAACACTGCAGTGACAAGCAAAATACAACTGATGCGTCTTTTATAATGTTTGCATACAGCTGCTAAATGAAATGTACTGCATTCTTCAGTTTGTACTGAAAGTCCCTAAAACTGCAGCAAAAATTAGAAACTGTACGGTAATCGGCAGATTTATACAGCACTACATAAACTAATGATGGCTTGAAATCAAAACTGAGGTCATTACACTACGATCTTCCTCCACAACGCAGCTTACAAGAACTGGACGAACGTAACAAAGAAACAATACGGATTACAGTATCAATGCTTGCCGAAAAGATACAGCGATCTTACTCGGAAATTGTGCCGCTAATAAAAATCGATTGTAAAAAAAAAATAAAAATCAACAAATCTTATTAATTATTAACAATATGAAAAATCACTAAAAATCATTTTCTTGTCATTTCTACTGCCAAGTGAAAAATGAAGTGATTCACTGTCACGAGAATAGTGCCGTCATCAAAACCAACTGTACGAGAAATTAAAAATTAATTATTAATAAAAATCAACCAAAAATCCTGCTAGAATAGAACGAACAAAAATACGGAACCATTTATAAAAGCTGAAATGCGCTGGAAAAAGTGCTAAGCAAACCTTCAAAAGCGAGTATACAGTCTTATTTACTCATACACACATACTAACACAAGAAGAACTCGCCACGTACTTTGCAGTATTTGATGAAGAGCGCGAAGACCTCCTTGCTGCTGCGGATCTTCATGAGGAATTCGGCGGCCGTCATCTTGGCTTTCAAGTGCAGAATGACGTCATACACCAGGTCGGAGTTGCCGCTGGCGATGGCCTTGGTCAGGGCCACCTCCTCCCGGCCCAACTCCAACAACAACGGAATCTGCAGCTGCGCCGAGGTCTCGTGCTCCAGCAAATCCATCGCCAGTTTATTCCGCCCGAGAGAGCGTGCTTTCCGAGCGCATTCGGCGAAGGAGATGCCCGGCGTCTTGGCCAGCTTCCCGATGATGGCGCGGGCCACCGCCTCGTCCGGCTCGTTGCGCTGGTTCATTTTAAAGAGCGACCAGTGCAGCAGGATCTTAGCAAAACCCTCCTGCAAAATGCAGTTTTTAAAAGCAAACGGTTCAAGAAAATGTGAATTAAATAAATACATTTACAAGTACACTGAAAACAAAAAATATCAGTGGACGCAACATACAGCTGACGTGAGGCGGTCAAGATGTTCAGATGTTCAGAATAAAATCGACCGCGAATGAGTAGATGAAACTGTGATACAGTACATCACACCTAGCCAGGGTCCCGTCACCGGCTATAAATTCAGAAAAACTTAATCTTTTGCAGAAAGATAGGGGAACAATGGAATAAGCAAAAAAATTATATTCAGCTGCTGTGATCAATGGGCGTGGCCAGAACAAGAACTGGAAGGAAATTCCACACTGTGCTGTAGCCTATGGGCAGTATACCGCATCATACGTTTCAACGTTCCTGAACAACCTGTGCGAGGCCAGTTTAACTTTAGATGCTTTTCTCAAAATTTTTATGTATTTCTTAAATACTTAAGCATACATAAATTTGACAATCCAGCCGCTTGTGAAACGGGTTTGCAAATGGTATGCAGCCCGGGCTTCAGCTCGTTTCTGCCGAGAGAGATCGGTGCTCATGTGTAACTTCTCGATCTCGAAATGATTGAAAAATTGCTCACACAAATCACATCCAATTTCTGATGCAAAACATGAGTGTAAACTGTATCATCTCCACAAACGGTGAACGAGTATTTAAAGTAAACTGACCTCGTACAGATTGTTCGGTGTTAGCGGTATAATACTGCATTCAGCATAGGCGATAGTTCCCATAGACTACGAGTACAGCACAATGTGAAATTTAGTTTCAAATTTTGTTCTGGCCAGGCCCATTGATCACAGCAGCTGAAAATAATTTTTTTTGCTGATTCCAGTGGTCCTCTATCTTTCAGCAAAAGATCAAGTTTTTCTGAGTTTATAGCCGGTGACGGGGCCCTAATAAGAAAACCCAACATATCTCGAAGTAACAAACAAATACGACAATTCCAAAAAATTTTCCGAATACACACTATGTAACGGTGCCCACTGCTGTTTTTGGTACCAAGTTCTTTTCTTTACTGTCAAGGCTTTAAATCACAGAACTCATGCCTCTGCACTACAAACTCACGCCAAACTTCCTGCACACTGCAATACTAATGCGAAAAACTACAGCATGCACAGCTTTAATCCCTTTTCTGATTCGTTGGGATAATTTTAAGTTTTATAACTTTTCAAACTATGAAAGGATACTCGTTACAAATTTTTATTACTGGCTATAACAGTTTACGTACTATTAAATATGAATAAACTCCCAATACTAATTTAAATTTAAGTAATTAACATTTAGACTGTATAAAATATACTTTGGCTATCAATTTACTATTTACAGCACCTAACAACTTAATTTTAACTAAGTAATATTCAGGCTATATTAAAAATAATAATCATAACTTTATTATAAATAATGACTATACAATCAGTATATTGATTATTATCCGCGTACGTTACCATAAAACCAACTGCGCAATCACGTTAATTTTCCTCACCTGCACCGGCAATTCCAGATATCCACAGATCCGGTACGCCAACTCATACTGTCGCCGGCGCACCAACTTATCCAACAGCTCCGGCACGCTCAGCCCCTCAAACTGCCGCCAGGTCAACGGCATGCCCACCAGATAGAAGCGCAGCGCATTCAGAATCCGCAGATTCTTACACATCAGCACAAACTTCTCCGTCAGCACGGCGCTGTCGTAGAAGCTCTTCCCGAAGGAGGCGGCGCGCAGCAGCAGCTTCTGTGTGTTGATGTCCAGCTCCTGTCCGGCCGAGTCAATGCACTGGTTGATGGCGTCCTCCAGGGTGGGCTTGACCAGTTTCAGGTACTCGTCGGCCTTGTACGACAGGGCTTCGTACTCGCGGTACGCTTCCAAGAGGGCGGCCCCGGGCGCCATGGAGCCCAGTTTCATCACCGCTTGCGTGGTGGCGGGGACTTTCTGGATCATGTCGTGGGTGTCGCGGGAGATGATACGCAGACAGTCCGTTTCCGACACTGTACGGACATAAAACCAGCCGGAAATGAAACCAGACATTCGTGCCCGTCTTACCGGTTTTTTTAAATTCAATAGTTTAACAATAAATATTTTAAATTAAATATTCAAATTAAGCATTTTAAAGTGAATGTTTTTTAAATTAAAATTTATATTTATTTAACTGATTTGAAATAATTTGACGCAGTAGCAATCTGTCCAGCAAGGTACTCGTATTATTCTTACTAATTAAATTCAGATTACTGCTTGAATTGTTATTAATGAGATCTGAATTACCTATTACTATACAGGCCATATTTTACGACAGACTTATTTTGCTTTAGATGCAACGTTTTAAACTACTTTTCAGCTTCTTCATCAAGCTACGGTGGCATTTATTAGACAAAGCAAGATCGAGAATAACAAAACACGTCCAAAACATATGCAAAATTCAGATCAGGGAGATTGCCATTGCCAAAAAATCCGCACTAAACCATACTTATAAAAAACAAAATTCAAAAAAAAATTACGAAGGAACCTTTTGTGTCGCATAATCAATGTCGTTATGAACGCGAGAATGTGCTCTTGAAACTGAGACTTAAATGACATTATTCTACGATATTTCTAAAGAAAACCGCCAGCACGACACTAAGAAACTGCAAATATATTCAGTTAATGCCAAAATAATTTCACAAAAAAAATTCCACACCGGAAAAGCACAGGCGAATCAAAAACCTTGTAAATACAAGTAAACTGGAAATGAAGTCATCGAAAAAAAATTAGATCAAACATTTCACAATAATGCTTAATCCAAAATTACGAGAAAAACTAAAGTATCTTATCCGGCAATTTTATACCGGACGCGGAGGAATGTCACATAACTATGGGAGATGTTACAGAAATTGACCACCTGCCACCGTTCTACGATATCTTCGAATTTGATACACAACAACCTGTACATGAATAATCAATTAAGAAATAACTGCAAATATAAAAAAGGGAAATACAAAACAAATGAAAATATTAATTATTTAAACGCATAAAAAGCTACATCACTTACAAGTTACATCAAACTAAATAAAGTCGTACAAATAAATGAAGTATAAATAAATAAAGTTATGTACAAATAAATCACATAAATTAAATTATATTAAATTATATGCGTTCAATACATCTAGCAAATACACAGTGAAGAAATTCTCATACAAATACAAATAAAATCAATACAAGAAATTAGAAATTAAGTCATAAAAAAACACCCGTTTACCTAGATGCACCGGCGAATCAAACAGGAAGTTGATGTAGTCCTTCTTCGGGCCGATCAGCAGCAACACATGCCCATCCGGTTTGGCCCAGTAGCCGACCACCGCGCTATTCCCGCACCAGGCCACCTGTTGGGGCGGCGCATCCGGCGAGCCCGAGTCGAATTCGCAGGCCACCAGGGCGCCGGCCTCCGTCGGCGTGATGATGATCAGGCCGTTCAGCGTCACCAGCGCCAGACTCTTTCCGTTCGGCGAGACAGCCAGGTGGCTGTAGCCCAGCACCGGGTCGCTGCAGCGCACCGGGAACGGCTGGAAACTCCCGGTTTTGTCCACGGACAGGATGTCGGAGCCGCGGGTGATCAGGATCTGCGTGTCGCGCTCCTGGCACACTACCGCCCAACAGGGCGGCGGGGCGTTGACGTCCAGACCGGGGACGACGCCGGTGGAGCGGAGGATCGGCGTCGGTGCTACAGATAAATAAAATACTCGAAATTGTTTACGAAATGTGGTGGTTAACAGGTGGTTACGGGACTCGCATATAAACCGGAAAAGACGTTAATTAGTGCTTTATTAATTACGTAATTCATATTTCAGGTTTTTTGGCATTTCACAACCCCAAAATTAGGTTTTAATCAGAATTAATTTTAGTCCAGTTACGGCTTCTAGGCGGTTTCAGTTATTAAGGTAAATAGTGAATCAATACTGTCAACGTTAAAAAAATTCCATGCAACAAAAACCGTAAATAAATTAAAATGGAGAAATTATTGCCTCTTTATTGGTTCGAAAGCAGTAGAATAAGTCTAATTAAAAAACACTAAGTAATTATAACAATCACAAAATATAAAACATTAAATTAATAAGAGTAAAATAATTTATTGAAACACATAAATTTAGTTCTACAAAAAACAAATCCGGGTTTCGTTAACAAATAAGAGCCTGATTTTTGGCTATCCGGAAGAAGACAATTTCTGCTAAGCCAACTGACAGAACGCCATCATTCTACGATCGACTGCTGAAACAACACAGGTTTCAGAAACGGGGTTGCCAGATACAGTCAATAACAAATTTGAATCTATTCCGCACATAAAAAATAATTAAAACCACAGGTCTGCAAAAGGGGGTTCCAGCTGCTCACCGTCAATAAAAAATCTGAATTTATTCCGTCAATAAAAAATAATTAAAATACAGGCTTCAGAAACACCAGACACTCACCGTCAATATCGTGCATGATGAAGAACCGTCGACTGCCCGTCAGCACGGCGATCCCCGTGGCGCCACTGCCCTGGGCAAAAATCCGACAATCCACCACCCGCGCATCCATGGCCTCCTGGCCCATCCCGAAGGTCCTGACAAAGGCCCCGAACATATCATAGATCAACACCCGTCCGTCCTCCTGCACACACACCAACTCCTCCGCCCCCGACCACCCCAACTGCAGCAGGGGGCCGCTGTTCCACACCCACTGGTGCAGTAATCGCCCCGCCGCGGAGAAGACGACGATCTGGGGCCGCACCAGGGCGGGTGAAGGGGCGGCGGGGGTCTTCTTGCGCTCCTCGCGGACCACGGCGATGGGGCCGCCGTGGGTCTGGGCGGCGATGAGGGCGAACTCGGTCAGGTCGATGCTGTACTTGGCCCAGGCCATCTGGTACAGCTCTTGGCGACGGTAGTAGCTGTCCACGCCGAAGGGGCTCCAGTTGTCCGTGAAGTTCAGCATGGTGGACTGCTGTCGGATTACGATGGGAAAATCAACAATGCATGGGCACACGCAGCATTCACGTCAATAAAACCGCAAATATAATGGCAAAATCCCAGCGAAGAACGTGCAACTGGCAAAACGAGGATTCAGATCCCGAAAACAAAAACAATTTGAATTCGGTTCAATCAATCAATCAATATCCGTGGTGAGTTTTGATTTTGCCTGACTAGATCTGTGGCTGTGCACAAATGCACATCGCCATCGGTCGTGGAGTACGACTACGCGCACGCCGTACGAGTACAGTACAGTACAGACTGTACAGTATGTTTGAAAACAACTTCAAAGAAATATGTAAAGTTGTTAAGCTGTTGTTTTGTTATTTTACTACTTATTTTTTATATTATATTAATATTTTTTAAAATCATTTATCTATATCAACACTTTCATTTAAATTCCTATGCAGCTTCTAAAGAAATACTTACTACTTTATAGGTTTGGTGCAGTCCGAAATACCAACGTATGTAAAATAACAATTAATACTGCAAATCGAAATCACCTTATTAGCAAAATATTGTTTGTACTGTACTGTAATTATATACTATATGCAGCTAAAGATTATACTCATACTATAATTAACCAAATCAAGACTATCCGAGTAGTAATAATATTATTACGATATTGTACGGAGGATGTACATATTCCATTTCTGCCAACATGTATACCGGGCCATTTTCCTTAATGACTGGACTGATTGCATTTGGACTGATTACTGTAGTTCTTCTGCTGCTCCATTCACAAGTTTTCTTGCAAAACACTCGCCACAATGTTTTGACCGCCATAGGGAGTTTTCCGCAAAAACGACAATATTTTGGTTGTCTGCATTGCAAGTGCGGTGCATGTAATAACAAACAATTAGTAAGCAATTTTCTCGACCAGAATTGCGCATTACCCGCGCGCTACGGTGTGTACAGATAATGTTTAATGAATTATGTGCCGAAATTAGTGTTTTCGATGAAATTTTTTGGTCAAGTGAGGATGAATGGAAATTCCTGTAAATAAATTAATAGTAATCAATCCGTGACGTTAACGTAAACTGTAATTAGAACTACGCACAGTTGATGGTAAACAACAAATGCTTATAACAAATGTCACAAAGTAATTTTTGTTATTTATATCGCGCGACGTATATAACAAGACCGTATATGCACGCCGATGCAATATTTCAAGCAAACATTTTGTACGTACTGCTTGACGTTTTTAACCTTTTTTTTGACTCGATCGCTTTCGTATCTCTTCCTGCAGTCATGAACGTTTTCCGATCCATTTGGATAATGCTCTTCGTGGTATTCATGGCTTTGGTAAGCTAACTATAATAGTCTATAGGTAATAAATAGAACAGTAAAGTTACCGTACTTGCCACAATATCGGCATTCATTTTTGGAAATATTTGGTAACTCTGAAACGGCATCACACAGTAGAGATATAACGCAGCGCAGATTACCGCACACTGAGGGCATGTTGAATTTTAATGCTACAGCACGAAGAAATATACAATAAATAATAAGCTAAGTAAATACCTATATAATATCGAATGTTGTGCCTTTGTCGCCGGCTTGAGTGATGTTCATGAAGATCTGGCATAATTATTGCATATCCATTTGCAGTTTATCAAACCGTCTGAATCAGTTAGATGTCTGCCGGGATCCCCGCGAAACCCATGTCCCCCTCGTGCGGAAATCGTTGAGGATTCATTCAACGACCAGGGACCACAGTGAAGTAGACCGGCTACAGGATGGGCACCGTGTACAGACCAATACCAGAAGCTGCTTAAGATTTTGGCAGGATTTTAAACAAAATGCTTTATATATAACCATTTTGTACATAAAGAATATGAGAAGTTCCCCAGCGTCAGATTGCTGGTACCGGCTAGGACAGCCACTACCTTAGCTACCTATATATTTTACAGTTTTTTTTTTCATTAATCTCAAGTTTTAGCAGGTACCTTTGGTAGCTTGTTCAGCCTTGTTAATGGGAGAAACAATCAATTTTATCCAAACTTCTACACGGCACTCTACAGCCTAAAGTTGCACATAGTGTAGTCGGGATCGGTAGTTGCTTTGTGAATGTATTCCGTTAGGAGTTTCATATAAACTGTTGCGAGTAATAAAACTGCCGTTATGGTTAAACATTTTCATATGGCAGAGAGACCAGGAGTTTTAATAATACAGAGTTATTTCTTTAAATAACGATTACGCTCTCTTTTATCCGGACTTCAAGATACTCCGTCAAAACAAAGATGACATCCATTGAAAAAAAAATTAATCTTTAACTGACAAATGCAAGTCACAAATGCAAGTCACAAATCCTTTTGCTTCGACCCGGAAAGCCGAAAACCATGAATTCCGGAAATGTATCGATATATAGTTACAGTATATACTAAAATTCAGGATAATAAAACTGATTTCCATAACATATTACCGCATATCTCGCTGAAAAACCAAAGCGACTTTGAATTGATATTTGACAGCCAGAACTTGCAGTGCGTGAGGGGCTCCACGATATTTTTGAAATTTTTATGTGAAAAATTCGGTTCCTGTGCCCAGCACAGACACAAAGGTTACGGTGACGTTATCATGAACTGTCTCAAAAAAATGCTAATGTCCACAGTGTAAGTAATAACAGCAAGGATCCGGCCCAGATCGGACATTGTTAGCATGCTTGTCGAATAAAAAAGGCATCCAAGCAAACATAAAAGCATTCACAGAGCATCAATCTGTATATACAGAGTGCTACTCTGTAAATGTATTTACGGAGCATAATAGCAGCAACATAATTTTCAAGCGAAAGCCGACTTTTAATTCGTTAATAATCAGGTCGACATCTAACTTATCATGGATTCATGGTCACTGGTCAGCATTACATGTATAGCCGGAAAAATGCGCTCCTTCAGATATTGTTAAAAATTGAAAGATTTATCCAAATGATGTCAAATTTCGCCCTCTGCGTGAATCTTCGGAGTGTTTCGCGTGTACGGGATAATTCGAAATTTAATTGACTTTGAGAAAGCATTTTGTGCTTAGAGTTTTTACTGATACCGGTACGTACTCGGCACCGTCACTATGGTACTAATCACACTCTTAACGGTACTAATCGATGTTTTGTCTGATATCGATGTTTTGTTTTTTTATTGTATTGTATATGTTTTGTATTGTGTTTATGTTTTGTATTGTTAATTGTACTACCAATCTACTTATATTTCATGCATATTCTTCTGCAGTCTTCTAGGACGACTCGAAATAAGCTGTTTAATGTTCTTAGCATTAAACTGCCGAAGGTGATTTTTGGTTGTGTAAGGAGAATTGTTCCACCTACTGTTTGCTATGTGCCGCACAATAACAATCTACAGATACACTGCCGCCTTTAGACTGTCCGCATATTATCAATGAATTGTGCACCAAGAATAGTGTTCTTTAATGAGCAGTTGTATTCTAAAAACATTGTTGGAGTTGAGTATTGTGAAAAAGTCTTGTAAAAACATAGTTCGACGACAGTATTTTTTGAAAACAATGCTTCGAAACTGGAACTGCACTTTTGATGTCGTAATGCATTTTCTAACTATCACGGTTGTTATTGTGCCGTGCGCGCTTTGTTTTCAATCGCGATAAAATATAAAAAAGAGGTGCGAGACTGGTCCAGCAGCCATTATTGCAGATCAGGAAAACAAAACGTTAAGTAATTTTCAGTTATCGGTGTTTCAATCATTTTCTCGGCTCTACCGCTCAGCAACCATTTTGCAATCATGAACACTCTACGATGCATCTGGACGATGTTGCTCGTGGCGGTTATGGCTTTGGTAGGTCAACATTATTATTACACGAGCGGATTTTTGAATGTTGATCTGTCCAGTTTCTGATGACCGCCGATCGAAGTAATCACCTTAGGATGACCTTTCCGATTTCAGTTTATTCAAAACGAACTTTTATTCTTGCAGGTGGCCGCGCCTTCCGTATCGTCATTTGATGCATCCAAGTGCAATCCAACATGGAAGCCGTGGGAGTGCTCCCAGAAAAACATTGTCCGTAAAAATTCCGACGACCAGTAGATAATTGTAATTAAGTTGCCTACGACCCGGACAAACCCAGTGGATTGTGTCTGTATTGCTCATATCAAAAGTTCCCTTTGACGGAAAAATATCGGCTCAACAAATATCCGACTACCGCGTACCTATTATACTGTGCAATCTGTATACACGACCTGCTCTGTACATGTGTCACGAAGAGCAACAAATATGATGGTGCTTTTATTGCCTTTTATATTAACAGATTTACAGTGCTCTTTCTCTTTTGTACAGTTTACTCATGCCAAGACTTCAGCAAATTATTGTAGAATACAAGAAAATAAATTTTGCTCATATGTTCCCAGCAGGTTGTTCTTTGGGTTCGATAATGCGAATAATATCGCTTTGCCGTGCTAAAATTGTGTCGGAACCAGAGAATACCTCACAGTTAGGAAATGGCATCATTGTAGTAGTACCGTAGAATATCATCATCATTATGAGATATTGTACACTACTTTTCCACTCTTGCAGTTTTATCATGTTTATTATCCTCTAGGACGTAAGGACTTTAGAGTGCGGTGTATTTTCGGTTCCGAACGGTTTTTGCTGACCAAAACTTATGTTTTACATAGTTAGCATCGTCTTAGGCTCACCATACCTTGCGAATTTTTTTGAGTAAAGGTTGCGCTAAACCCTGTCATTAATGCTGGACTCGTTCGTATAAGGTTTAGAAAAATAAGTGTTTCTCTTTGACATTTTCATGTTCCACGCTACCTAAAACAGACATTACATTCAAAGCCGGAACATTCAGTACCCACAACAAATTATGCACGTGTACACATACTTTGTTGTGGGGATCAGTTGTAAATGTTTTAATCGATCTACATAATCGACCCACATAATAATTTGGGTTAGAAAGTGTACCGCTTAAAGGTCATGTTTGAAATTTGCCTGACCCGGCGCTTTTGTCAGTTTTGTCAATAATATTTTCAAACGATGTGGCTTTGATCTGTGAGAAAATTTTGGCACACCAACCCGCTCGCGGATCGGTGCAGGTATGAATTACTAGTACGTGATTCCCTACGTTTGCCGTTTCGACGGTTCCTTTACTCGGCAAAACTGAACGACCTAAACTTTCGAAACTTAAGATAT